ATCCCATTCGATTCCTGAGGAAATTTGGGTTCCCTGTAGGCGGATGGACCGCTCAGAATTGCGTTTTTTCACTTCCTACACCCTGTACAAGATGAATTAAATTTTTTTTTATGGCGATTTCGTTTTTCGCGATTATCTCGGAAACTATGAGAGATAGAGCCTTAAAACCTATCGCAAAAGACTTCAAAATTGTGGGTGAGAAACTAAGGATCACAAGGGTCGACCTACGGGTCACAAGGGTCAGATTAAGGTTCAGAAGGGTCGAAATAAGTCTTAATAACGGTCATAAATGCCAAAATAAATGTCATGGGGATCAAAATAATGATGATGAGGCTCAGAATAAGGGTTACGAGGTTCAAAATGAAGACCAGCGTAAGTAAATAAGGGTCAGGGGGTCAGAGTAAGATTCACGAGGATTATAATGAGGGTCAGATTAAGCTTCACCGGGTCCAAATAAGGGTCAGAGTAAGGGTCACGAGGATTATAATGAAGGTTTAAATAAAGCCCATGAGTGTCAGATTAAGCTTCACAAAGTTCCAAATAAGGTTCAGAGTAAGGGTCACGAGGATTATAATGCGGGTCTAAATAAGGACCATGAGGGTCAAATTAAGCTTGACAAGTGTCGAAATAAGTATCAATAAGGGTCAAAATAATGATCATGAGACTCAGAATAAGGGTCACGAGGGTCAAAATAAGGGTCAGAGGATCAGAGTAAGTAAATAAGGGTTAGGGTGTCAGAGTAAGGGTCATGAGGATTATAATGAAGATCTAAATGAGGACCATAAGGGTCAGATTAACCTTCGCAAGGGTCGAAATAAGTGTCAGTGAGAGTCACAAGGGTCAAAATAATGGTCATGAGGCTCAGAATAAGGGTCACGGGGGTCAAAATAAGGGTCTGAGGGTCAGAGTAAGGGTCACGAGGTTTATAATGAGGGTCTAAATAAGTTTCCGAAACTCCTAGGGGAATTAACATGGGAAAAGTTTCCGAAAATCTAGTGACTCAGGTTGAAAAGGTCTATAGTCTATTTATCCTAATATAACTCAAGATCGTATTTCCCAACACAGGAGACCCTCTACCGCTTTCCATTCACGTTCTCCCCCCTCCTCTGCTGAAACTGGAATAGGAGCCTTTCATGAATCCTTCAATTATCTCGGTAACTATTGGCTCCACGAGAAAATGTTAAGCGACATTTTTTATAGTCCACAAAATTTCCTACAAAAAAGTCCTCTCACATTTTCTCGCCATACCACTCATTACTGAGATAATCAAATAATTGTTGACATCTCTCCACTCCCCTCCTCGATGATACTCCTTCAACAGAGAGGGGGTAAAGCCACTATAATGGCCTCGCTCATCGCGCACGTAAACATTAAATGAATTGACACACTGTAATTCCCTGGAACCATCAACAATCACCCAGAAAATCACCCAAAAATCTCGGAAAACCCGATAATAAGATGTGACTGCAGATCGACAGCCCAAAAACTCAGGTAAATCTGATTTTTTCTCAATAACCCACATACAGTCAAATCTCCAACATGGAATAACCTTTATGTCGAAAAGTCACGTATGGAGCAATTCAATAGAAAAACCCACCGCTTTCTCTAGGAAATTCTGTTAATTTTCGATCAAATTGAGTTTTAGGTCGTGAACTTCGATACCCGAGTCAAAACCTGAGCACTTGAATTTTTTTCATTTCATATACGTCTTGTCAACCTATACAAAGACTAAATTTTTAATGGAACAACAATGGACCTTTGCATTCTGGTAACCTAGGGGAAATATTTACTCCGTTCATCAAACTGAAAAATCATCGAAAAAATGATCAAAAATTCTCATAAATATTGACACAGCAGAAAACGAATTTCTAAATTTCACAACACCTTTTGTAGACATTTTTCAGACACTAAAAAAAGGTCTGAATAGAATGAAAATGTGCACAGCCTTAAAGTAGATATTTTCAGTTTTTCAATTTTTCAACTAAATTGCATGGAAAAAATTTGAAAAAAAAATCATACCCAGTCAGTATTATCTGAATTAAATTTCGCAAAATATGATATTTTTTCAAACATTTCCCTCTGATAAATAAATAATAAAACTTGTTTGCAAAACGGTGGGTTATTTTTTATGTGTCAAAAAAATTCAGATTTTAATTTTTGATTACAATGGAAATGTGGATTTTTACATAAGACAATGGGTTAAATCCTGATTTTTAACCATTTCTTCATTGAAAAACCAAAACGACAATTAAGCCCCGGGTGTACTATCTTTCGAATGTTATCTGATTTTTTTTTATCTCTCGTAATCCAAAATTGTCAATTGAGTGGTACATCATGTAGAAATTCCCAAAAATTATGATAGAATGATAAAAAAAATGGAAAAAATTCTGAACTTTTTCAAAGAGCGTTTTTAATTGAGATTCAGGATGAGTTGAAAAAAGTGTAAATTACAAATATCTGATTCGCTGTGGCAAATTATCTATTAGCTGTCCTTTTCCATGGTGGATAACAAAACACTAACTCCTCGTGGGAAGTGACAGCTAAGTATCTCAATTTTCAAAACAGTGGTATGTAGTCATCTGCCATTTTTATGTGATAAAAGTGTGATTAAAAAATTCTCCAAAATATTACAACTTTTTTCAAAGAGCCTTTTCCGTAATAAATGTCTCTGTGCAGTGTGGGAAAAGATTTACGAAATCAGTCTTCCCCCTGCATGATATTGGGTGACAGGCCGCCATTTCTCACCGTAAATCAGATGCATTTTTCAATTTATTGTTATTCAACTTATTCTGAATATAAATTAAAAATGCTCTTTGAAAAAATAAAGAATTTCTTCTACTTTTTTTTGATTATTCATTCATAATTTTTGAACACTTCTGCATGATGCAGGACTCAATTGACAATTTCAGATGACGAAAGATGAAAAAAAAAACATGAAGAAAACGCTCGAAAGATAGTACACCCGGGCCTTAAATTGAGAAAAAAATTAGGATTCCGAATCTAATCGAGTTTTCTGCAATTTTTTTGCACTTTTCAATAATCTTTGAATCTACCGTAAGGGTAGAGCAACTTTAAATGTCTTTCCACCTGTGACTGTGCATCTACAACCTTCTCTTTCCCAATATTTTCCAGACTCCAACGAACCCAGGAAGCCTCTCACCAGGATGTCAAAATTTCCTCCCAAAAAATCGAAAAAATAAATCCCCCGATCTGAAGCTCCCTTCATTACCCGATAATGTCATCACCCGAAAGAACAAATCCATCATCTGAACAAATACCAAATAGCCCGACCGACGTCAAGCCAATCGACATTGCCGCCGAGGCGGGCGATTCAAAATCCTCGGACGACGATGTCCTGGAGATACTGGAGGACCTGGAGACGTACGCGGAGAACATGAAAGATGATTTTCTCGGAGATTCAGCAGCGCAGAACACCTCGCGTAAGGCGAAACGACCTGGTGTTTGTGGCTTTATGGACTTGATGCTGGAGGGCCCATGGAAAAGTAATGAAGAAATCAAGGAAGAATGCAAGGTGCCAAAAAGAAAAAGAGGCAAGAGGATGCGCAAGTGTCCGATATGCTCGAAAAACAAGCGCAGAGGGTGCAAGTGTCCCAAGCCTGTCCAAGCTACCACCCCCAAGCCTGCCCAAAGTGCCACCCCCAAGCGTAAGCGCAGACATTATGAGTTCCCTCCAATGTACCGTACCCCTGTGATAACGCCCATTGTCGTCCCCTTTCCCATTGTTCTGCCGATTCATCCCTCAAGGACTGGGCCCTTCTTTTACCACGCGTAGGTGTGAGCGAATGAGCCAATACTTTTTGTAACTGAAGGTTCAAATGGGGGCTAACACGGGGAAAAGTCAAACGGGGAACGGTCGAACGGAAGAGGCAAAACGTATGAGTATATTTAAAGATAATTTCGTGTTTTTTCCTCGCAAATCAGTGTTTGATGTGAACATTTTGACGTGGATCCGTCTGCGGTTTCAGGGGGGGGGGGGGCATTTTGGGAAACGGTCCTTATGTACATCGCCATCTATCGGAATTCTAGAAGATTCTAGGCATTGCGAGATAATTTGAGGGGTTTCTAGAAATTTCGAAAAATTCAGTAGTGAAGTCAAACGGTACAAGGCAATTTTGACTGTTGACCAGTTTTCAATGAATATTTCGGAATCTAAGGGAGATGGGAAAATTTTTATTATAACCTTTTTTGTAGAGCCCATTGTGAGCTACAAAAAATGTAATTACGGACATTTCGCTATCTCCCTTAGATTCGGAAATATTCCTGAAAAACTCAACTGGGAGATAAGTCGACTTAAGGCCCGGGTGTACTATCTTTCGAATGTTATCTGGATTTTTTTTTATCTTTCGTAATCCAAAATTGTCAATTGAGTGGTACATCATGTAGAAATTCCCAAAAATTATGATAGAATGATAAAAGAAATAGAAAAAATTCTGAACTTTTTCAAAGAGCGTTTTTAATTGAGATTCTGAATGAGTTGAAAAAAGTGGAAATTACAAATATCTGATTCGCTGTGGCAAATTATTTATTAGATGTCATTTTCCATGGGGGATAACAAAACACTAACTCCTCATGGGAAGTGACAGCTAGGTATCTCAATTTTCAAAACAGTGGTATGTAGTCATCTGCCATTTTTATGTGATAAAAGTGTGATTAAAAAATTCTCAAAAATATTACAAATTTTTTCAAAGAGCCTTTTCCGTAATAAATGTCTCTGTGCAGTGTGGGAAAATATTTACGAAATCAGTCTTTCCCCTGCATGATATTGGGTGACAGGCCGCCATTTGTCACCGTAAATCAGATACATTTTTCAATTTCTTGTTATTCAATTTATTCTGAATATAAATTAAAAATGCTCAATGAAAAAATTAACAATTTCTTCTACTTTTTTTTTTGATTATTCATTCATAATTTTTCAAAACTTCTGCATAATGCAGGACTCAATTAACAATTTCAGATGACAAAAAATGAAAAAAAAAACATCGAGATAACGTTCGAAAAATAGTACACCCGAGCCTTAACCCAGTGTCTTATGTGAAAATCAACATTTCCATTGTAATCAAATATTAAAATCTGAATTTTTTTCCATCAGATGTGAAGAAATGAAGAATTTTTTTGACACCTCATAAAAAATAATCCACCGTTTTCCAAGCAAGTTTTATTACTTATTTATAAGAGGGAAATGTTTGAAAAAATATCAGTATTTTGCGAAATTTAATTTAGACAATACTGACTGGGTATGAATTTTTTCAAATTTATTCCATGCAATTTAGTTGAAAAATTGAAAAACTGAAAATATCCAAAAGTACAGCGTAGCCCGGCCGAAGGGTAGAGCTACTCTAACCCGATTGACCACTTCACTACTGAAATTTCGCCCGTTGATCCTCGATTATCGAACTAACAGAGATACGGCATTCATTACGAATAATTGGTGCTAATTATTTTTTTTTATCAATTCCCCCAGGGAATAAATTAGACGAAAAATTGGTGATTTCCTGGATTTATCGGGGCGAAAAAAAATCAAAAACCCTTTGTATCGATTGGAGCCGATGAAATGGGGAAGCTACTGGAAGTTTGAGATTTCCTTCTTACATTTATGAATAGTTATACACTGTGAAAGTTTTGATGGCGGTCTCACAGACCGGGAGTTCGGTGTAAAGGGTAAAACATTTTACCGCTTCGTTGACGAACTTATTCTGCACAGTTTCGGGAATAATCGATTTTGAAAGCAAGCGTTCACATTTGCATGGGTCAAAATGGTTATTGACCCCGTACGTGAGGGGTTAATCCCTCAACTTACCCTTGAGAGTCGGTTAAACTAGGGCAAAGAGCAAAATTTGAGGGGGAGATGAAGTATAAAACGTATCCTGCAAGAAGAGGCACTAATTTATGATCGATTTCTGTGACTTTCTGCAAATTGTTTGATTTATTAATTGTAAGTAATTGAATAAATAAGTTTTAAAAAGTACTGTTTCCTCCCCATAGTCCAGTCAATCTAGCCCTTTTGTCCTAAAAATTTATAGCTTTACAATACTAAATAAGAGTGAAAATTTCAGATGTTTACTGCCACCTCCATGGGTGCTATAACAACTCCAATATTTCGAAATACTTCGTATGAACGGGTAGACATATTTTCTGTTTTAATTTTTTTTTAAATGAAAAAAGACCCAGACATTTCTTCAAGAAGAAAAAACAAAAAAATGGGCATATCTCGCAAACTTCCCCAAATTTTTGACGATTCCTTGAAATTATTTATCCTCTTCAGAGCGACTTCAACTCGTTTTACCTAGTTCCTTGAAGAAGAGCAAATTTTTGAAGCTATTCTTCGTTTTTTTCATCTTTCTTTGACTGAGAATTCATGGCGCAAAGTTTTCCCCGGATTAAAAATTTTTTTTTACTTACCGTCGCCGATGATGAGAATGCGGCTTCACGTTCGTCCACCGGAAGTCAGAAATTTGTGGAATGGAGGGGGTAGAATGGCCAACGCGCTCTGAAGTTGGCCTCTTCCTCTCTTTTCCAACGGGGGTTGCTTGGAAGAAGGTGTCCGATCCGGCGTCTTCTTTTTCAACCCAAAATGGTACGTAATCCTAGAAAAAACAATAAATATTCCGTTCTTCAGTTGGAGGAATCATCGAAGAATATTAAGCAATCGAAAATATTTCAATCAATTTTGCGATGTTTCGTTATTTTATGGATTCGAAATTCGGATTGACAATGGGTCCATGCGAGTGTCTCCACCTCACACGTAATTTCTCATTTTTATCATCAAAATAATATTGTTAATCACTCGTAATTGTTAATCGTTAACGAAACAGAAAACTTGAATTTTTCCAAATTTTTAATGTTATCGTTCAAAAAAATAGTGAAAAAGTGATTGTTGGTGTGAAAATATTTTTTGGTTATGTTCCCCATACTAAAATACAAATATCAAAACAATAAACTAAATGAAAAATCTCGATTGTTGATAAATAATTAAAACTGAAGCTAAAAAACCGTGAATTGTTAAAAACAATGAGTAAACTCCATTTGAGATGCAGTTTTTCGTGAATATTTTTGAATCCAAGGGAGACACCGAAATTTTTGATAAGACCTTTTTTGCACCTCGTGGAATTCTCTACAAAAAATGTTTCAAAAAAAATTTCGATATCCCGCTCTAATCTCGAGATATTCCCAAAAAACACACGAAAAAACGATATTTCAACATTTTTTTTTCGCAATTAATTAATCACTTTTCATATCAATTCGACATTCATTTTCGTGGTGATATTGATTGAAATATGTGCCTTTCCACCGAAATGATGAGCCACTCAGCTCGCTTTGAATGATACATGAAGAAAACTTCTTGTTCCCTAATTATCATTTGTCTGAACAAAAAAAAAACCTGAGAAAAAAAATTGCAAAATCCAGACACATCCTAATAATGTTTAACAATGTTCCACAGGGTTTCGTCAAAGTAGTGAAGAACAAGCAGTACTTCAAGCGTTTCCAAGTCAAGTACAAGAGGCGTCGCGAGGGTAAAACCGATTACTACGCTCGCAAACGCCTGACAATCCAGGACAAGAACAAGTACAATACTCCCAAATACAGGCTGATTGTACGTCTGTCCAACAAGGATATCACTTGCCAAGTGGCATACTCAAGGATCGAGGGAGACAGAATAGTCTGTGCTGCATACAGCCACGAACTGCCCAACTATGGAATCAAAGTTGGTCTGACCAATTATGCCTCAGCTTATTGCACTGGGCTGCTGTTGGCCAGAAGGGTGAGCATTTTATCATTGAAAAATTGATAATAAACATTGAATTATCAGCAGAGAAGTGGTAAAACAATGGGAATGCAAAATAATATTTTAGAAAACATGTAAATGGCCAATTTCTGGACGATTTCAACTTGCACTGATTATTTCACCTTTCGGTAATATTACTCGTGTACAATCATGTGATCAATTATTTTTTCGATTGATCGACATTTAATGAATGTAAAAAATATCGCCCAGAACTATTTCTTAATTTACTCACTTCTCTGCTGAGTTAAAAAAAACCTTTTTCTCTTCGAGAAAAAATTTCACATGATGATATCACTCAGCTCGCTTTGACAAACAATGAAGAAACATTTGTTCCCTAAAATCATAAATCTGAAACCCCAAGGACCCCCAAATCCCATGAAACCCCATCAAATGCCGAAATAAAAATGAAAAATTTGTGCATCCACAGCTGCTCAAGAAATTGGGTCTCGACAAACTGTACACTGGCAGCATCGACGTGACTGGTGACGAGTACAACGTCGAGGAGCTCGATGATGGCCCAGGTGCCTTCAGGTGTTACCTGGACACTGGTCTGATGCGCACCACCACTGGTGCACGCGTCTTCGGTGCCATGAAGGGAGCTGTCGACGGTGGTCTCAACATTCCCCACAGGTAAACATCATCTCCCACAGGTCAATGAATTTTTTGAGACCCTCGAGACATTTTTAAAGCGACGAAAACGATTTTTTGTAATTAATTTTCTGGTGCACTTCCATTGTTGATGGATTCCACAGTGATTTCAGGGGATTTTTTGGAGAAAAAGGAAACTATATTCATCCCATTGTCGTTTGACGACATTCATTCATTTTCAATATTCATTTAATTGCGAAATAACAATAAGATTAATGATTTTTGCTTTTCTTCTAATATTTCTTGAATATTTTTTCTAATATTTCCTAATTAATGTGGAATTCTTGAAATAACGATTTTTTAAATTAATATTCTGGGTCATTTTTATGATGACAGTTAGATAAATCTTGCTTTCTTCATCTCTAAGGTCCTCTGAAATTAAAAAAAAATTCTCGACAATTTTCAAGATTTATCTAATCATTAAAGGACAATTAAATGAATATTGTTTTCTTTTTCTCCCACATCCGTTGAAATCACTGGAATTGTTTAAAAAATTCTGGTTCATCGAAACAGTACACCGCAAATCAGACACATTTTTCAATTTCTTGTTATTCAACTCATTCTGAATATAAATTAAAAATGCTCTTTGAAAAAATTAAAAATTTCTTCTACTTTTTTTTGATTATTCATTCATAATTTTTCAAAACTTCTGCATGATGCAGGACTCAATTGACAATTTCAGATGACGAAAGATGAAAAAAAACATCGAGATAACGTTCGAAAAATAGTACACCCGGGCCTTAAGTGAATATTAAAAACACCGAAATCACTAGGATTTTTTAAATGTCCTCTGAACACTTTATGATGAAAAACTGACACATGCGCGTCATCTGAGCCACGTGGAGGGAAATCCCTGTGTGTGTGTTTTACCGCATTGGGACCACCTCCACACCGGCGTCCAAGGATTATAACTTTATCTGAACTACACCAGAAAATTAAAAAAAAATGATTAGAAACGATTTTTTGGGAATTGAGATTTTTAAATTTTATTTCGCAGCACAAAGCGATTCCCTGGATACGACAATGAGTCGAAATCCTTCAATGCTGACGTCCATCGTCAACACATCTTCGCCCAGCACATCGCTAACTACATGAGGACACTCGAGGAGGAAGACGATGAGGCCTACAAACGTCAGTTTTCACAGTACATCAAGCACGGAATCACTGCTGATGCTGTAAGTTTCTTTTTCAAATAATACTAAATATTTTTTGTGGAGAATTTCGTGAGGTCGAACAAATTATTTGTGATAAGTTCTTTCAAGATGATTTGTAATCGAGAAAACTCATTGGAGATGGAAAGAAAAATGTTAAGAGTCAATTTTTCACTTGTGGAATATAAAATTCTCTTGAAGATTGCCTTCAAGAGGAAATTAAAATTTTTATGGAGAAGTTTCGCCACAAAATTTTTTTTCATAATCTCTTCTCGAAGAACTCTTCATTAAGATGATTAACAATTAAAAAATATTTAAATAAAATATAATTGATTTTTCAAGTCTCTTTGAATATTAAATTATCTCAATAATGAAAATATCAAGAAATTTTGTCTAGAATTTTTTTAGTTACAAAAACATTCTTTAGACATTCATTTCTAGGACCACTCGTTATAAATCCAATAATAATTCTCGTTATAAATTCGTTAATAATTTGTATTTCATCTTGTTGAATATTAAATTATTTTAATAACGAGAAATGTTGGTAAGAAATATCAATTTTTCGCACACGATTTTAGTTACAAAAATGATCTTTTAATCCATAGAATCATTAAAATAACAAAATATAATTGATTCCCCAAGTCTCTTCAAGCACTAACTCCTCATTAAAATAATTAATAATCAGCAAACGTGAAAATAACAGAAAAATCATTTTGCAAGCATTTTTTAACATGAACTTATCACAACAAAAAAAATTATCACAACAGTGATGAGAAGACGGTGAATGACATCCAAAAATTTCGTCCAACTAAAAATTGTTACGAGGCTATTCAATGCCCCGTCAACGTCGCAGTTGGACAATAGTGATCACAATGGTACCGCGAAACTGTTGAGTGCAATATCCCCTGCATTCTACTGCATTGGCCCCTGTGACACTCCCAAACCCCCGAGCAACTCGAAAAAATTCCCCTGAGTCTCAAGAATTGAATTGTTTTTTTTCTTTTTGCTTCACAGATTGAGGGACTCTACAAGAAGGCTCACGAGGCTATTCGTGCCAACCCAGACCACGTGGTAGTCGAGAGGAAGAAGGAGCCAGTGAAGAAACGCTGGAATCGCGCCAAGCTCACCCTCTCCGAGCGCAAGAACCGTGTCAACCAGAAGAAGGCGTCATTCATGAAGAAGTTGGAGGAGGCCGAAGCTTAATAAGCCGGTCCACAAATAATTTTTGTACCTCATCCGTTAATCTGGATCGTTCACGTTGCCATTTTAACATTACATTGATGATTAATGTATTTTTATCTGTAGCACGTGAACGGTGGTACGAAAATGTTGATAATAAAAATGAAAAATACAGCTTTTGTTTTACAATCTTTTGTACATAAATTTATTCTAAGGGAGAGAGAGAGGAGATCGAGTGGAGCTTGATTCTCTGAGACTGATGAAGAGGATTTCTTCGAGAATGCGCAATTGATTTGTGTAAAGTATATTTTTTATTGAAGAGAACGGGAGAGACTGATTTATTTTTCTTCGAGATTAATAAAATGAAGTTTATGTTTATTTATGAAGATTAATACCTGGGAGTATTTACTTGTCCTTAAAACTTCTTGGACAGTGTAATTTGTATTCAATGAATTTCAAAAAATGATTTTCCTAATTTTGATTTGCTTTCAATTTAGGGGAATTGAGATGGAATGAATTTGCATTATCACTTTTTACACATCATTCACATTTTTCAAAATCGAATTTACCCGGTGAAAAAGAATCTACAATCTTTTGTACATAAATTAATTTTCGAGAGGAGATCGAGGGGATTTTGATTCTCTAAGACTGATGAAGAGGATTTCTTCGAGAATGCGCAATTGATTTGTGCAAAGTATATTTTTTATTGAAGAGAACGGGAGAGACTGATTTATTTTTCTTCGAGATTAATAAAATGAAGTTTTTGTTTATTTATGAAGATTGATACCTGGGAGTATTTACTTGTCCTTAAAACTTCTTGGACAGTGTAATTTGTATTCAATGAATTTAAAAAAATGATTTTCATAATTTTGATTTGCTATTAATTTAAGGGAATTGAGGTGGAATGAATTTGCGTTATCACTATCACTTTTTCACGCATCATTCACATTTTTCAAAATCGAATTTACCCGGTGAAAAAGAATCTACAACTTTTTGTACATAAATTAATTTTCGAGAGGAGATCGAGGGGATTTTGATTCTCTAAGACTGATGAAGAGGATTTCTTCGAGAATGCGCAATTGATTTGTGCAAAGTATATTTTTTATTGAAGAGAACGGGAGAGACTGATTTATTTTTCTTCGAGATTAATAAAATGAAGTTTTTGTTTATTTATGAAGATTAATACCTGGGAGTATTTACTTGTCCTTAAAACTTCTTGGACAGTGTAATTTGTATTCAATGAATTTCAAAAAATGATTTTCATAATTTTGATTTGCTTTCAATTTAGGGGAATTGAGATGAATGAATTTGCGTTATCATTATCACTTTTTCACGCATCATTCACATTTTTCAAAATCGAATTTACCCGGTGAAAAAGAATCTACAATCTTTTGTACATAAATTAATTTTCGAGAGGAGATCGAGGGGATTTTGATTCTCTAAGACTGATGAAGAGGATTTCTTCGAGAATGCGCAATTGATTTGTGCAAAGTATATTTTTTATTGAAGAGAACGGGAGAGACTGATTTATTTTTCTTCGAGATTAATAAAATGAAGTTTTTGTTTATTTATGAAGATTGATACCTGGGAGTATTTACTTGTCCTTAAAACTTCTTGGACAGTGTAATTTGTATTCAATGAATTTAAAAAAATGATTTTCATAATTTTGATTTGCTATTAATTTAAGGGAATTGAGGTGGAATGAATTTGCGTTATCACTATCACTTTTTCACGCATCATTCACATTTTTCAAAATCGAATTTACCCGGTGAAAAAGAATCTACAACTTTTTGTACATAAATTAATTTTCGAGAGGAGATCGAGGGGATTTTGATTCTCTAAGACTGATGAAGAGGATTTCTTCGAGAATGCGCAATTGATTTGTGCAAAGTATATTTTTTATTGAAGAGAACGGGAGAGACTGATTTATTTTTCTTCGAGATTAATAAAATGAAGTTTTTGTTTATTTATGAAGATTAATACCTGGGAGTATTTACTTGTCCTTAAAACTTCTTGGACAATGTAATTTGTATTCAATAAATTTCATAATTTTAATTGGCTTTTAATGAAGGAGAATTTAAGATTGAACTTTTGCAAATAATCAATATCTTCAGACCAAATGATGCGATTTGAATGAGTCGCATTGCATTTTACAGCTTGAAGAATTAAGTTTGGTAATAAAAAAAAATTCTTCAATTTCACTCAGCCAATCTCGAGTAATTAACGATTGAAGACGGTCTTCTACTAATTGTTTATCAACAACCAACAATAATTAAACTAGATCAATTGGGGGCCTTACCTGACTGTGGAACGTGCCTCAGGAAGTCTCACCTCGTCAAACGCTGATTATCACGTGAAATGAGTTTTCCCCTTCACTATCACTTTTTCACACATCACTCACGTTTTTCAAAATCGAATTTACTCGATAAAAAGACGAAACTAGAATCGACATCTTGTGCATTTATCAACACGTCAACAACAGAGAAAATCCCAAACACTTTTCACAACTCCAAAATCACAAAAAAATCCTTTATCCCCATTAGTTTCACTCATTCAAAGATTTAATCCCATTTTTAATTAATTAAATCGATTATTTAAGTCAATAAACACTGGCAAACACTTTGAAAACTCGTTCAATTGTTCAGAATTACACATCAGGCGTCATCTTGTGACGTCACAAAAATGTCGGTCGCACAGGAGCAAAGAATTTTAATTCCTGAAACTTTTATTTCGTCCCATCACGTGTAATTCGTCGAAACAAACCCTGAATCCCTCATAAAATCATTGATTACTACACAATTAATAGTCATTTCGATGATTTTACCTCTATTTTCCCGAAACTACTGAGAACGAACGCCAAGACCGGCCGCTATCTTGGAGTTGCGCCGTGTGCTGACGGTTCTACCGCATTTTACGCGATTTACTGTTCGTAATGCAGCAAAACGAAGACTAATTCCATAACAGAATGATTGTAGACCACGATGATCGATGAATTACCCCATTATTAATCAATATTTCGTTAATTTTACCCAAAAAACCGCGGAACGAGCGCCAAATGCGGCATTCAGTGCCGGAGGCCGGCCGCCATCTTGCGCATGCGCAGTGACGACCCGAGAATTTTAATTTCTCATGTGATATTCTAACTTCGTCTACAAGAGTACAAGTTTCATTGACGAACTGGCTCTATCGATCAATAATAAATACATAAATAATTGAATAAATAAATAATAAATGCAATTGAGTGAATGAGAAATTCAGAGGTAAATAAATAAATAAATAAATAAAATAAAATATAAAATAGAATAGCCCCCGGTGAAAATTTCCAGATAGCTTTCATCGGAATCAAAACAAACCGGTGACAACGTCGACCTCATCCCCTCGGAAGTGATCAAAAATAATTGATTGGAGTGTTCGAAAGCCTTTGGAAATGAATCTCAAGGAGCCATCTCGTAAAAAGCGCGTCCGCCAGCAGCCCCAGCGCCCATTTCCGATCCCCCTCAACAAAAATGACGAGTGGGTTATGTACACAGCCCACCTGAGTGCCTCAGGAACTTGCATCGCTCATCCCGAGGAGATGGCAGCTGTCTACTGCATGGTAATTTATAGTTCTGCTATGTAATGTAATGTATTACCTTCATTAATTAATTTATTAATCGTTTTTACTTACTGATTTATTCATTTATTTCTCTATTTTATTCATGAATGATCAACTCGTGTTGTGGATTAAAATTCCCATCAGCATGGAGAAGAAGTTCGCAATAGCTTCGACGAAACGAAATAATTAAATTTGTTTATCTGTTTAAAAAAAAATTTTCTCCTTTTTTATCGTTTTTCAATTTTTATTAGTTGATTTCTGAATAATCCAATCGAGTTGGTGAATTAAAATTTCCATCAACCCTGTAAACAGTAAGATATGCAGAGAAATCGTGTAAAATATGAAAAATATAAACCACTTCAAGTCGATTTAGACTATTGGTCACTTTTTAATGAATATCTCGGAACCTAAGAGAGATAGCAAATTTTTTATAATAACCTTTTTTGTAGCTCTCAATTCGTTCTGCAAAAAAGGTAATAATGAAAATTTCGCTATTTCTCTTAGATTCGGAGATATTCCTCGAAAACTCATTTTACCGCTTCACCACTAGATTGAAGAGGAATGAAAAAATTTTTGAGAGCTTGTAATTAGTAAAAATAATTGATTAATGTCTAGGGGTCGTTCGGCAAGGGCTCGTTGTCCCGAGGGTTCCCCTCCTTCGGGAAACGTCGATTCGGAGCTCCACCACAGGTCAAGGAGCGCCAGTGGAAGAGGAGGAAACGCTGGCTGGAGGACGTCCGAAAGTTGGAGGCAGAGCCTTTTCTATTTTCAGCAGAGGCTTCCAACAAGGTTGACGATGATGACGAGAGCATGAAACCCTCTTCCGTGGCTTCTGAGCCTCCAGAAGGTGTTACAGATCCCGAGGGCAGTGGAAATGCAACCGAAAGTGCTGAGAAAGCATCAGAAGTCATTGAAGACGAAGAAAAACCCTCGAAGGACGAGGAAAATTCAGCAGAAGGTGATTTAGCCCCTGAGACCAGTGGGGGTTCATCAAAAAGTATTGACGAAGTCCCAGAGATCACCAAAAACGATGAAAAAGAGGAAGAAACCTCGAAAACTGAAGAGGACTCGCCAGGATTCGGTGGCAAATGTGAAAAGAAAACATCTGAAAGTTTAGAAAAATCAAAAATCATCACAAATTCGTCGATAATCGATGAAAAAACTGAGGAGAACAAAACTTTGATGACAACAGATGATGAAGTAGCAGCTCCAGACCCAGAAACCCCAGAAAATTCCCATCTAGACCCGAAAAATCCCCCAGAATCCCCGAAAAAAGACCAAGAAAATGGCTCTGGGGCACTGGAACCAGCAGAAGACCCAGCACCAGTTGAAATTTCCCCCAAAACTGATGAAAAAAATCCTGAAAATGAGTCTTCAGTCCCAAAAACTGATGACCAACCCCCTCCAGAGTCCGAAGATCCAGAGAATTCGTTAAAGTCCAATCGAAAACTCGAGGAGAATCAGGCAGAAGCCCCGGATAATCGATCCCCAGTCGTCAGATCCCTCGAAACTGATGGGGAACTACCAGCAGAAGCCTCTCCAGCCCCAAAAACTTCTGAGAGGCCCTCGGAAAAAATTCCCCAAGCCCGGAAGAACCAGAGGGAAATCGACGAAGTCGTCCTGGACTCCACAGAAGACGAGGAAGTCCTCGAAATAATCGATCCCAGCAAGTCGATGGAGACTGAGTCCCAGGGGGACGACATCTGCGTGTTGAACGACGAGATGGAGGGCTCTCTGAAGCCGGACAATTTCCAGGACTTCATGCAGCTCCCTCAGGAGAAAACTAAGGTGAACCCCAACGAGATGCTGGTGCTGCCGGACAGTGACTCGGACACTGAGAGCTATCTCAAGACCATTGACCCCAGGCTCGAGACCGAGGGCTTCCCTGTGGCAGAGACCCTGCAGCTGACCTTCGAGGAGACGTTCTTCCTGATGTATGGACTGGGCTGTCTTCAGGTTGTCAATTACGAAGGACAGTTCTTCAGTATTATCGAGGCCTGGAGGCACTTCAATGAACAGGATGAGGGGTTCTTCAGCAGATATGTCGTTTATCATTACTTCAGGAGCAAGGGCTGGGTCGTCAAGCCGGGACTCAAGTGCTCTGGGGATTTCGGTGAGGCTAAATCGCTTTTTAATCACAGAATTGTCGAAGAATTTAGGTGTTTTGAAGGGCTTTTTTGATTGTTTCGGGCAGTTTATTTGAGGGATTCAATACGAAGGGGAAGAGAAGTTAAAGAAGTAGAGAATTGCATTTTTTTGTCAATGAGGGGAGTTGTTGGTAATAAATTAGCAATTGGGTTCTGAATGGGTTCTCTTTTTTAAATTCTTATTTCAGTATTCTCTTCTTCTATTTTTTTATATCAATTTTTTCATGTCCATCATATTCTGATAGAATCAAGGGGCTATTGTTATCAATTTTTTGAGCCACGACTAATTCCATTTTGATGACAATTTTTTGAGTGATCGTTGAAAAATCGATTTTTGGAAAAATATCAATTTTTTCAAATCGGTATGAAAAATTGAATTTTAATTGGTGTCAATGAATACAGCTTATTAAAGTCTATGTTCATGAAACAATTCATGACATTCAATTGATCTCTTAAGTAAATTTCTAAAAAAATGAAGAAGTGCATAAAAAATAATTAACATAATTAATTTCTCTTTTGAGTTCATTTTCTGTCCTTTGAGACTTGTTTTCTATATTTTTTTTAAATTTTTCAGTGCTGTATAAGAAGGGACCGCAGTTCTACCACGCTTCTTACATCGTTTTTATTGAAGTTGTGGATGCTGATAGTCTCCTGAGGGACGACAGCAAAATGAAAAGGGATTCCTCTTGGTTGAATATTCATTGTTTGAATAGATTGGCACAAAGTGTTGCCAAGGTATAAAAAGGACTGCATTATTTTCGAAATATCTCAGGAATGAGTTGATTTAAGAAAATTTATCAGAAGATCTTTTTCCTCGAGCAGAAAATTCCTCACAAAAATTGTTTTCTCACATTTTGTCGTAGAATCATCCATTATTCAGATATTTTAACAAATAACAAAGCTTCCATTTTTCAATATCTCATAGCAATCATTCTCGCACTTGATAATTTGCCAATTATCTCAGCAACAAAGCATTTTACGAGAAAACATCATAGAACATTTTTTGCAGAGAATTTCATGAGCCACAAAAATGTCTCTTAACATTTTTTTCTAAATCGGCTCGTTTCCAAGATATTCAAAGAACAATGCAAAGAAAAATTTCACACTTGTAAAATCCATTCCAATTTGTTTATTCCTGCAGGAATTATTAATCGTTCAAGTGCTCTGGCCCTCGACAGTCCCCAGGAGCAGCAGTCCAGTCCCCCTGGAGGCACTGTCAGAGTTTACAGTACGTGAATTACTAATAAGAAGATGGAATCCCAATGAAACGTGTGAGCCAATTCCCCTGGATGACGATGAGGACGAGGACTCCGAGGACGACGATTCATCTTAACTCCAGCATCATCTCCACATTTTTCAATATTAATTAACATTTCCAAAATAACTTCACTGTATTTTTTATCTCACTCACTGCGAGATAGTTATGTACATAAACTAAGTAAATCTAAAGATTTCGACTTGTGATTTAAATTAGGTGTGAAGAGTCGTGATTGTTCAGGATGAAATTAGAAAATAGCAGAGTGCTTTCGTTTTTGCTTGGCACCCACTCCAGTCCTTCTGTACTGGCTCCTCTCGTTTAGGTACTCTTCGGTGCACTGTGCCACGAATTCTTTATCGTGGAACCACTTCCCAGCGCAATCCCAGAGGCGTTTGTTGGTGTCGCGGCAGTCCAGCCAGATCAGTAAGCCAGACTCCTTGCCACATTCAGTGAAAGCTGGAGAGGAAAACAATTTTTAGTTGATGTTGAGGATTAATGACATGAACGAGATGACTTTCATCTCAGTTTAAAGGAAATGAATAGAGGGGAGCAGGGATCGCCATATCCGTAAATTATAATTGGATCATGCTTCAAATGAATTCAATTATAGCTTAAAATGTTTGTTTTAATGCCATTAAGTCCAAGTTAAAAGATGATTACGATAGCTATATTGGTTGATTTGATTTTTATGATGATCGTTGAAAATTTCGAATTTTTCATGAATTTCCCTGGGAATGAGCTTTCTGATGGTTTCTTCAAATGTGATGTTTCAAATTCATTCGCGTATGTGTAAATAAAATTTTTCTATCAACATTTTATCGAAGGGCTGAGGGGAGAGATAGAACCGTAAAAAAGACAATCGGTTGTACAGAAGAAAGGGATAATAAGAATAACGATGATGATAACATTCAACCAAGTTGAAAATCTGACAAAATTTGTTGAAAAGAAATCTCGTTCAATCTAATAAAATGGAATAAACAATAAATTACACATGACAGAAGGAAATGACGTGCAAAATTGCCATTCGGAGCACATTGCTAATTTATTATCAAAAATAACTGTAGGCGTGGGTGGGGTAAAACGGACACTTTAGAATTTTTTAAAATTATTCATAACTCCGAAACAAATTGATCAATTGAGCTCAATTTAGGCTCATCACAAAGGGAAAGAATTGTTCTTTGTATTGAGAAGAAAATGATTAAATTTTATCAACATTTCAACCTCTGATTAACAATTTTAAAAAAAGTCAGAAGTGTCCTTTTACCCAAACCTCCCCTACTGTATGCAATTCAAGAGCAATCTCTTGTTTTTTATTTCATCGATATCTCAGAGAAGACCAGGTCCAAGAGAATTCATCAAAGAATACTTTTTGTAGCGAATCAAATTCTCCACAAAAAATGTCTCTTAACACTTCCTCCCAAACCCCCTCCTTCCAGAAATAATTAACCCTGACAATTAATCAAGTGTTCCCATGTTATTTACCTTTGACTTCCTCTGTGCATTTCTCAGTTCTCGCTTTGTCGCGTACTTTCTGTGGAATCAGCACTTGCTTCTCCAACTTCCGAAGACTCCTGTCGTCTGGATCGCCTAAAACCAAAAAAATAAAATCGTCCTTCCCCTTGACACTGTCACCAACAAATAAACCCTTCTCCAGGATTTTCTCACTCTAACCTATATCGAGTCTTCATTCGGGGCCACGAATTTTGATATTTATTGAGAAACAACTGGAGTGTGGGAGGATGAATTAATGAGTTACCTAGCCCGTGGGGTCCAGCAGTGAATTTGGGAGACAAAACACCCCTGACCGATTTTCCCTGTTTTTCCGCAGTTTCGTTTTTTTTCTCTGCCTCCGCCATTGCTCCAAAGTGGCAAACACTCGCGTGAAGCAACTGTACAACTGCTCATGAGACTGCAGATTTGAGGTTGTCAGTCCTTTGAATCGAACACCCGCTTCCCCAGTTTGTTTCCATTAATTAACGAGTGAAAAACAGTAATTACTGTCTTCTGATCGTCGCAGCGAGGTGAGTGAAGGATTCTCCCCTCGAAAAATTAATAAACCCCAATTTCTGGGGACTGAGAATGGGGTTGAAAGAGGGAAGAACTGTCAGTGCAGTAGATAACCTCGAAAATATTTCAGGAGCATTTTTCAGAGTTGAATTTAACGCTGAAAAAAGATTTTTCATGATTTTTTGGGGCTCGGAGGGCTTTGCATTTTTATTTTCAATTTTTTTAGGTTTATTTTGGGAGATGGACAGACTATTACGGTTAGGAGGGGGCATGACGGGCCTCAACCAGGGGCCACCACCCTCTGATGCCCCGGTTGTTGACACTGCTGAACAGGTGAGTTATTTTAATTAGAGGGGTTAATTCTGTAGCGAAGTGGTAAAGCGGTTCAAGTCGACTCATCTTCAAGTTGAGTTTTTAAGGAATATTTCCGAATCTAAGGGAGATGGTGAAATTTTCGTAATGACATTTGTTGTAGCTCTCAATCGGATCTACAAAAAAGTTTATAACAAAAATTTTGTCATCTCCCTTAGATTCCAAGATATTTATTGAAAACTGGTCAATAGTCAAAATTGACTTATACCTTTTTACCACTTTGCTACTGAATTGTTTGGGAGGTGATTTCAGTATTCAGAAATATGTAGGGGAGCCTGGGGTAAAATGGACACTTGACTTTTTTAAAAATATTCATAACTCAGAAAGGGATTTATCAATTGGGCGCAGTCTAAGCTCATCACGAAGGGAATCATTATTTTTCGATTGGAAAATAAAACTATTCCATTTCATGAACAATGCAACACGTCATGAATATTTCAAATAAAATCAAAAGTGTTCATTTTCGTCTACCCTCCCCTATTTTTTATTGGGGTGGTTAATCAATCAGTGGATTGTCTCAATAAAGAGAAGGTTGAGAGCACGATATGAAGAAGTTTTTAGTGGAAATATTGTGAGCTATAACAAGATTTCTTGATTTTTCGTTATAGATCCACTCGTTTATTAGATAATTTCATAATTAATAAGTATCTATTTTTTTAATTGGGTTGTTTAGTCAATTAGTTCGTCGATTATCTCAACAAGGAGAAGGGTTGAAGCTCAATATGAAGACATTTTTATTCGATATTTTGTGAGCCACAAAAGATTTCTTGATTTTTTGCTGTAGATCCACTCGTTTATTAGATAATTTCATAATTAATAAGTATCTATTTTTTTAATTGGGTTGTTTAGTCAATTAGTTCGTCGATTATCTCAACAAGGAGAAGGGTTGAAGCTCAATATGAAGACATTTTTATTCGATATTTTGTGAGCCACAAAAGATTTCTTGATTTTTTGCTGTAGATCCACTCGTTTATTAGATAATTTCATAATTAATAAGTATTTATTTCTTTAATTGGGTTGTTTAGTCAATTAGTCGGTTATCTCCTCGTTTTTCAAATTGTTGCAGAACTAAAAGTTTGTCTCCTTCTTTTTCTATTTTGATTTACTGAAGAAAATTAAATAATATATTAATTATTTTGAACTTTTAGGTGTACATTTCCTCCCTGGCATTGTTGAAAATGCTGAAGCACGGTAGAGCTGGCGTCCCCATGGAAGTCATGGGGCTCATGCTGGGGGAATTCGTCGATGATTACACTGTCAGGGTCATCGATGTCTTCGCAATGCCCCAGACGGGAACTGTAAGTCAAAAAATTCGTTTCGTGAATTTTTTATAATCATCCACTCTAGAAGAAAATTGAAATGACTACTAATTTTTAGATGTGTGACATTTTTTTGGGGAACAAATCATTAAATTTTAGATTTCGCAGAGAATTCAATGAAATTTCAAATTTCCGAACAGCAGGAATTTTCAGTCAACACATCAATTTCCAGAATAGATTTCCATGAATTTTCCTGATTTATATTAATTTTCATGGGATAATTCAAATAAAATTTAGACTTTCCATCGATTTTTCTATGAAATCTTGAATTTTCTGTGATAAAATTGCTTGAAATTTCCTCCAAAAAAATTTTCACAAATTATGAAATTATGAAAATCCAGTGTAACGATTTTTGAAGCCTCTATTTCGCTTATTAAGTAATGTAATATGTCTATGTATATTTTTTTATGTACTGTAATCTTTTGTTTACAGTAACTGTTAAAAAAAGTGAAATTAATTTCTTACTGTAATAAGAAAATATGTAATTCTGTAAAAAAATATAGTACATAATACATCCCTAAAAACCGAATGCAAGAAGCAAAAGAGAAACAAAGAAGATGAAGAGGATTATGACGATTCCGAATAAATAATTCAACAATTAAATTTTCATTCTGAAAAACTTTGTTGACTTCATTAATTTTTCCTGCATTATTATTGCGATAAAAATTAATGAAAGTGACAAACGGTGAGATTTTCCTTCTGGCACCCAGGGAGAACAACAATACGGGCCCTGTTCTAGTTGACTGAAAAATAAGAATTATCAAAAATCCTCAGGTGTTAAAGTGATAAATTTTCGTTCTTGTTGAACCAAGAAAAAAATTGACAAAATTATGAACGAAGTTGTCTACTTATTTATTCAATTAATGAATTATGCTCTCTCTTGTCATGTAGGGTGTGAGTGTAGAAGCGGTGGATCCAGTGTTCCAAGCAAAAATGTTGGACATGTTGAAGCAGACAGGGAGGCCAGAAATGGTGGTGGGATGGTACCACTCGCATCCAGGATTCGGTTGCTGGTTGTCTGGCGTTGATATCAACACTCAGCAGTCCTTCGAGGCGCTCAGTGAGCGTGCAGTAGCTGTTGTCATAGATCCCATTCAGTCGGTGAAAGGAAAGGTCGTCATCGATGCATTTAGGTTAATAAACCCCAACATGATGGTGAGAATCAACAAAATCCTGTTTAATTCTGCATTCTCATTTTTTAAATTTCTCCTTTACTCATCCTGGAGATGTTTTCCTTCAGGTCCTCGGCCAGGAGCCTCGCCAGACGACCTCCAATCTGGGACACCTCCAGAAGCCCTCGGTTCAGGCCCTCATTCATGGACTCAATCGTCATTACTACAGCATCAGTATCAATTATCGTAAGAACGAACTCGAGCAGAAGATGCTGTTGAATCTTCATAAAAAGACTTGGATGGATGGACTTACCCTTGCTGAGTACTCTGAGCACAGTAGGTTGAATGAGAACACTGTGGCTGAGATGCTGGAGCTTGCTAAGAATTATAACAAGGTAATTAGCCACAGAAATCATAATCAATTCAACGTTATCATCTGTTTTTTTCAAATATCTCGGAATCCATGCGGGGTGGACCAATTTTCGTCTCCACCTTTTTTGTAGCACTCGTTCTCCTCTACAAAAAAGGTCTGAACAAAAATTTCTCTATCTCCCTTCGTTCTCGAGATAATTACCAAAAACTGATGTCTAAATTCATTTTTTGAAGAACAATTATTCTTGATGGTTTTATAATTTTATTTTGTCATTATAAATCATTGGAAAAATTCAAAAAAAATTATTCCGATTCATTTTTTATGAGAAAAATTACTTCTGATGTCTTCAACATTTTTTTCCCTCATAAAAAAATGATAAAAAAAATTAATGGAGAAAAATATCTGCAGAATGATTTCTAATATTTAGAAATGATATTTTAATTGTCTTTAATTCCTTCAGGCACTGGAAGACGAAGAGAAAATGACACCTGAGCAGCTGGCAATAAAGAACGTGGGTAAACAAGACCCAAAGCGTCACCTGGAGGAAAAAGTAGATATGCTCATGTCCACAAATATCGTGCAATGCCTGGGAGCAATGCTCGACACTGTTGTCTTCAAATAACCAATTGTACATGTATGAAATTTTCACACGAGTGTTTTACGAAATACAAGTACTTTTTAAGAAATGAAGCTACGATATTTTTGCTCGTGCCTTCATGAAACTTATCATTTTTCTACGTTTACTGAATTATTTCTCTCGATAATCATGAATTTGTGAATAAAACTCGTACATCCCTGCGGATATTTTCTTTTTATTCAAAATAATTGCCTCACAGGATACATTCTCTCTCAATTTTACTCTGCAATGAAATAAATCTGTTATTTAATGAATATAAAAAAAAATCATTTTCAGGAAGAAACAATGAGGCAAGATGGCTGAATTGTTGGTACGAAATTATTTTCGTACGTCATTCAATGGAAAATTATCGAATGCCAAGACATCAGTCATCTTTATGTACATCATTCACTCGTATTCCTGAGCTTCTGAGCTTTCGCACAATTTTTCATCCCTATTTTATCGCACGTCTTGGTCCTATCGTTAAAAATGAAGGATTGAAGGAGGGTAAGATGATAACAGGACTGGATTACCAGGATTCTTCTCCCTCATTGTTTCTCTTCATTCCCTTTCTCTACGTTTACTGAATTATTTCTCTCGATCATCACTAATTTGTGAATAAAACTCGTACATCCCTGCGGATATTTTCTTTTTATTCAAAATAATTGCCTCACAGGATACATTCTCTCTCAATTTTACTCTGCAATGAAATAAATCTGTTATTTAATGAATATAAAAAAAAATCATTTTCAGGAAGAAACAATGAGGCAAGATGGCTGAATTGTTGGTACGAAATTATTTTCGTACGTCATTCAATGGAAAATTATCGAATGCCAAGACATCAGTCATCTTTATGTACATCATTCATCGTATTCCTGAGCTTCTGAGCTTTCGCACAATTTTTCATCCCTATTTTATCGCACGTCTTGGTCCTATCGTTAAAAATGAAGGATTGAAGGAGGGAAGGATGATTACAGGACTGGATTATGAGGACTCCGCCCCCTCTTTGCTCTTCTTCTTCTTCTTTTTCTTCTCCTTTTTGGGTGTCTCAGACTCTTCAGCTTCAGTTGGAAGTGTCACATCAGCCTCCTCTTCTCTCTCCTTCTTCTCCTTCTTCTTCTTCTTCTCTTTCTTCTCCTTCTTCTTCTCCTTTGGAGATGTCACATCAACGTCCATCTCCTCGGACACCTTTTTAGGAGAGGCTGGAGCACTGGGGGTGGCTGGGGCCTCTGACTCCTCGTGCGTTCGCTTCTTGCCAGCAATTCCATTTTCTTCTCTCTGAAATTTAATGAAAAACAAGTGGAAAATTACTTAAGAATTTTGAAAATAAAAGATCAAATGTAAATTCATCTGATGATCTGTATTCTTTGTTTTTCTAATTTGTTGAGCATCTTGGTAATGAAATTTTGGACAGAATTTTCTTCTGCCGTGCATCATTTATCGTTTGATACTATTTTCGTCAATTGAAAGGAATTATAAGGAAATTTATGGAGAAGGGGATTAAATTTTTTAGGCTTTGAGGGTCTCACCTTGACTTCTGTGTAATCCTGATAATTCGTCAACCAGTCGGAGGGTGTGTTCTCATTGGGTTTACCGTGTTTATCAAGTTTACCACCGAGAATCATCTTCTTCTTCTCGGATGCCTTTGGACCGAGACCCCATTTCCTGGGGTACGAATCTCTCTCCATTATAACTCGCTTTATTTTAGCACAGACTCCGTGGTCACATGCAGCCATTGTTGGTGATGTCATCATGGCAATTGCTGTGAATTAATCAAGAATGTATTAATTAAATTATAATAACATTTAAGAACGTAAAGCAATTGTTAAGAGTTTTGAAGAACTGTTAATTGTCGAAATATTTCAAAAACTATCGCTTTTAGAGAAAAATGTCATAAGATCTTTTTTATAGAGAATCTTTTGAGCTACAAAAAAGGTCTTTTGATATTTTCCTCTAAATTCGATCATTTTCGAGATAGTTGCAAAATCATTCAACCTCATTTGTGAAAATACAAAAAATATTACCCAGAGCAACAGCTTCTCCTTTGGTCGTCACAATAACGATCTCTTTATTCAGTTCAATTCCATCATCATACATTAGTACTCCTGGCAACATGATTTTGGCTCCATAACAGATAGCATTCACCTGAAAAAAAAATTAAAAGGGATTGAGAACAAAATTAAATCAGCAGCAATGGATGGATGGAATTGAATTTATTTTTTTAAATGCAGGTATTGTTGAGCCCTATCAATCGCCATTAATTGAAATTTAATTCATCGATTAGTTTATTTAATTTTCGAATTTTTTCGAAAATCGGTTGTCCCACGATAACTAAAAAAATGTTCTGAACTGACTGAATGATGGCTTAAAAAAATTGTTCGGATGTCCTTTTGACCGAGTTCGAAGATGAAGGCGACAGCAATAATCGTTATTTTTATTAATTTGAAAATTTGCAAAAATTTTGTATTTTTTGAAACTCAGAATTCCGGGGATATCTTTGAATATCATGGTTCAAATGAATTCAATCATAGCTTAAAATGTTTGTTTTAATGCCATTAAGTCCAAGTTAAAAGATGATTGCGATAGCTAATTGGTTGATTTGATTTTTATGATGATTGTTGAAAATTTCGAATTTTTCATGAATTTCCTTGAGAGTGAGCTTTCTGATGGTTTCTTCAAATGTGATGTTTCAAATTCATTCACGTATGCGTAAATAAAATTTTTCTATCAACATTTTATCGAAGGGCTGAGGGGAGAGATAGCACCGTAAAAAAAACAATCGGTTGTACAGAAGAAAGCGATAATAAGAATAACGATGATGATAACATTCAACCAAGTTGAAAATCTGACAAAATTAGTTGAAAAGAAATCTCATTCAATCTAATAAAATGAAATAAATAATGAATTATACATGACAGAAGGAAGTGACGTGCAAAATAGCTAATTTATTAGCAAAAATAACTGTCCTGTATGGAATACTCACAGCACTGTCCTTAACGATAATTCGTTTGTGATTGACCAGCAGTGCCTCCAGAGGCTTGATAACTCTCCTCAAGTACGACTCATCCCCATGATTGTCGTAAAGCCACTGGGCGTCCAGTACATCGTGCATCGTCACCATGTTGTCCTCCTCATCCTGCACCCCAGATCTGTTTCTCCTCAGCTCTTGCATTTGGCATCCGGTCCCGAGGAACAGACCTAAGTGAACGCATATCGTCCTCACGTAGGAGCCAGCCTCACATTTAACTTTAAATATTCCCATGTTACGTTCATTGTCGTAATCAAGGAACCAGCTGTCGTAAACCGTCCTCACACGCAATTGTCGCTTAACGGCGGATATCAGCGGAGGCCTTTGAAACAGCGCACCGCGTAATCTCTCCAGCGCTTGATTTATCTGAATTTATTTCAATGGTTTTCAGATTATTTTTGCAGCGGCAGAGGGGTTAATAAAATTATGTGCCATTTTTGGGAGGGTGAAGGGACATTTTCGTGAGAGAATTAATTCTCGGGAAACAATTTTTATTGACTGATTAATTTTTAAATTAACAAAATTTGAGAATTTTTTGGATTTGAAGGAAAATGATGAGAGGAAAACATGAGGAAAGACTTTAACAAAAATCTTCCCTGATGTTTCCTCTGCACCTCGTAATTAATAAGGAGATAATTAAACATTTAGCGGAGAATGAAATTTTGTCAACGGAATTTCTTTTTTTAAATTTATTATTGTCCTTTTTTAAAATTAAAGATCTTGTTAATGAATAGATTTAAGAGGAAAATGTCAGAAGGTTTTTTTTAACAGAATCTAATAATGCTCTAAAAATACATGTTGATATTTTTAAAGAGATAATTTACAAATAAATAAACGAATTTTTGTTATAAAAATTCATTTTTGATCATTGAATTAGTAGATTAAGAGTGAACTCGTTAATTTCAACAAATATTTTCAAAGAGAAATGAATTCTTTGCGACGAATGTCGAAATCTATCTCCAAAAGCTCTAATTGACGAAATAATTTACAAATTAATAATAAATATTTACAACAAATAAAAATTAATTTATTTTATAATAAATAAAAACTAATTGTTGATAATTATTTGAACACATCTCGTTAGAAAATGTCAAGAGATATTTGAAAAATAAAGAACCCTAGAGTTTTTTTAAATATCTGCATTGGAAATAAGAGTATTCATATTTTGAATTTAAAAAAATGTGGGTTTTACCTTCCTGGTGTCTTCAACAGCCTGATGCAGCTTGAAAACAGCGATATACTCCTTCCCCGCAGCCTGCTGGGACTTTGCCAGTCTCGTAGTTTTGTCGATGCACACGATGAGGCAGCCAGACACCTTGGGATCGAGAGTGCCAGAGTGTCCAGTCTTCTCGACTCTCAGAATTCTCTTGATCCAGGCCACCACCTCGTGGGAGGATGGGTTCGAGGGTTTGTCCAGGTTGATGCAGCCACTCTTCACGTAGTCTGCGATTGGTCTGTGGAGAGGGGTTGAACCACTCGTCAAGGGGGTGAAGTGCTTGGTCCTGGTGAGGAGTTTGTCAAAATTCTATGAAGAAAAAAGAATTTTTTTCAAGTGAAACTTTAAAAAAAAAGAGTGTGTTATTTAATCCTTTCTGAATATGTTAAGAGCACTTCTAGTTATATTTTCAAATAAGAAATTAATTCATTGGGAAAATTTAAAAAGGAAAGGCCAATCCTCGCATTTAATGGAGATTAAATATTATTTTAGTAAAACAAATACTTTGAAAAAATTGATTTGCATTTTTGAAGCATTTTTCATATGCCAATTAATTAAATAAGAATTACCAAGAATTCTTATAACTTTGAAAAGTGTGAGAGCATTTTCAAGGTTTGAAAAAATTATTTTCGAGTTAAACTTTAAAACAAAAGGGAAAATATCATTCAATCATTTCTGAATCTATTAAGAATATTTCTGATGATTTTTTCGAGTAAAAAAAATAGATTTAATGTGAAAATTTAAAGAACAAAGACCCATCCTCGCATTTCATTGAGATTAAATGTTATCTTAGTAGAAAAAATGCTTGAAAAAAATTAATTTCAATTCAAACACTGAAAAAATTACAGGAAAAAAAATTATTTAATCATTACTAAACAAATAACAACATTTCTCACAAAAAAAAAATATTTGAAAAAAATTAATTATCGATTTCTGAACATTTCAGAAGCTTCTTAAACCCGAAAAAAATTATTTCACATTGAAAACATCAAGTCAATCATCAAATTCCTGTCAACAATAACTCCATAATTGAAAAAAATTCTGGAGGCATTTGTGATGAGTTTTAAAAACATTAAAAATATGTTAAAAATATAAAAGAAAAATATTCTCAACAGAAACAATCGAAAAATGGCTTCACAAAGTTATTTAGCAATTTCCAAACAAAGTGCGAGCATTTTTAATGATTATTTTAAGGTAAAGTATGTGATTTTAATCAAAACCTTGAAGAGCAGAGGCCAATCCTTGCATTCAAGCTTGACAATAGCATCAGAGGGCTCCATTCTGCAGTCCATAGCCACCTGTGCCTCCCCCAGGGACTTCTTGCTCTTCTTCTTCTTTGTTTTCTCTGTAAAATCATTGAACAATAATTATTCAATTATAAGTTTTACGAAATCTATAAAACAGCTACAATTTTCAAATCTATAAATCTAATCTTTCACATTTCGTAAAGATATTTTCAGTTTTTAAATTTTTCAACTAAATTGCGTGGAAAAACTGAAAAAATTCATCCCCAGTCAACATTATCTAAATTAAATTTCGCAAAATATTAATATTTTTCAGACATTTCCCTCTTATAAATGAATAATAAAACTTGTTTGCAAAATGGTGGATTATTTTTTATGAGGTGTCAAAAAAATTCTTGATTTTTTCACAACTAATAATGAAAAAAAATTCAGATTTTAATCTTTGATTACAATAGAAATTTTAATTTTCACATAAGACACTGGGTTAAATCCTGATTTTTAAATATTTCTCCTTTGAAAAACCAAACAATAATTAAATTCAGAAAAAAATTGGAATTGCGAATCTAATCGAGTTTTCTGCAATTTTTTGCAGTTTTCAATAATTTTTGAATTTCCCGTAAGGGTAGAGCTACTTTAAGAAGCTCCAAACCCCCTCCATAACCTTAAAAATTGAGTTATCAACAATAATCCCCTCCACTCATTCGGAATCCTCGCTTGACAGATGAATTAGCCCTCCCAATAAACAATCCTCAACACCGAGAGCCTCTAATTGTTGTAGATTAAACAATTGCTGCAATCGGTGTTAACAATGAGCACGTGTTTACAGTGGCGATCAGGCGCGTCAACCACAACACAATAACCCCTCGAATTCCCCCAGCTCACCCCCTGAAATGCCCCGAAAAATCCCGAAAACGACTTAAGAGTTGTAATGCTGAATTATTGGTCAATAATTAGTTATGAAATTACCGATTTCTGCCATTGTTAACACTTTTTTTCACCAAACACACGTGCAGCAATGGCGGTATGCAATCAAAACGGCGGGCCATGGCCGCACTAGCGCCGGTAGTTTCGGATTTTTCCGCCTGCGCAGGGCCACTGCGCATACCGCCAATTCATCCGTCTTTTTGAATTTTGTCTGATGAGTCTTTCGGACAGTTTTCAGTGGTTTGGGCTCTAAATCGCTGAAAAAAGGGGTTCAAATCGTCTACCGGATGTTCAGAGAGAGATCCACTCCCTCAATTTTTTATGGGATTAAGGAAGTCCCTAGAAAAATGCTCCAATAGAAACGGTTTGTTTTTTTGGATATTTCATGTTCAAAAAATTGTTATTTCACCTGCATCAATTTTCAAATCTTGGATTTTACCCGGAGGATCGAATGGTGAGTTTTAATTTAATTAATGCGGGGTTGAAATATTGATAAAATTGAATTACTTTTTTTCAATACAAAGAACAATTCTTTCCCTTTGTGACAAGCCTAACTTGAGTTCAATTAATCAATTTGTTTCTGAGTTGGGAATAATTTTAAAAAAGTATAAAGTGTCCATTTTACCCCACCCTCGCCTCCTCCAGTAGGAGTTATGTTTTTTTGGATATTTCATGTTCAAAACAATTTTTTTTCACCTGCATCAATTTTCAAATCTTGGATTTTTCCCGGGGGAAAGGCGCCATTCGCAAGACCCCACTGCGCAGGCCCAGTACCCATTTTCTTCTACTGCGCATCGCCAGTCGGCTTCCCTCCGACGCCATATTGAATGCTTTGTTAGAACCACAACTTGACGAGTGCCGCCTCGTAGGAGACACTCCAGGGGGCCGATCACCTCCCGACGGACGGTATTACCCGCAGATGGTGCCCCAGCAGGTGCCGAAGTGTTTATTCTGTTAATGCGCGGGATTACAATCGAGTTGTAAACAATTTTAACGGGTTTCTTTGTTCGTTGAGGTTGGGAAAAGGGGGGAAAGTCTTTGTTCTTGTGTCAGTGGTCCTCCTGGAGGACAACAGTGCGGGTTTACCCTGGAGCTTCTATCATACCGGTGATCCAACCTCCAGGAAGTGATGTGAACAACTGTGAACTGGGTTTTTTGGGAAATCGTGGTGTGCTGGGGCGGATTGTTCGAATGGATCGAATGGTGAGTTTTAATTCAATTAATGCAGAGGGGAGGTTGGGGTAAAACGGACACTTTTGAGTTTTTTTAAATTTTAATGAGGCGTTGAAATGTTGACAAAATTGAATTACTTTTTTTTCAATACAAAGAACAATTCTTTCCCTTTGTGACAAGCCTAACTTGAGTTCAATTAATCAATTTGTTTCTGAGTTGGGAATAATTTTAAAAAAGTCTAAAGTGTCCATTTTACCCCACCCTCGCCTCCTCCAGTAGAAGTTGTGTGTTTTTTTGGATATTTCATGTTCAAAAAAATTTTTTTTCACCTGCATCAATTTTCAAATCTTGGATTTTTCCCGGGGGAAAGGCGCCATTCGCAAGACCCCACTGCGCAGGCCCAGTACCCATTTTCTTCTACTGCGCATCGCCAGTCGGCTTCCCTCCGACGCCATATTGAATGCTTTGTTAGAACCACAACTTGACGAGTGCCGCCTCGTAGGAGACACTCCAGGGGGCCGATCACCTCCCGACGGACGGTATTACCCGCAGATGGTGCCCCAGCAGGTGCCGAAGTGTTTATTCTGTTAATGCGCGGGATTACAATCGAGTTGTAAACAATTTTAACGGGTTTCTTTGTTCGTTGAGGTTGGGAAAAGGGGGGAAAGTCTTTGTTCTTGTGTCAGTGGTCCTCCTGGAGGACAACAGTGCGGGTTTACCCTGGAGCTTCTATCATACCGGTGATCCAACCTCCAGGAAGTGATGTGAACAACTGTGAACTGGGTTTTTTGGGAAATCGTGGTGTGCTGGGGCGGATTGTTCGAATGGATCGAATGGTGAGTTTTAATTCAATTAATGCAGAGGGGAGGTTGGGGTAAAACGGACACTTTTGAGTTTTTTTAAATTTTAATGAGGCGTTGAAATGTTGACAAAATTGAATTACTTTTTTTTCAATACAAAGAACAATTCTTTCCCTTTGTGACAAGCCTAACTTGAGTTCAATTAATCAATTTGTTTCTGAGTTGGGAATAATTTTAAAAAAGTCTAAAGTGTCCATTTTACCCCACCCTCGCCTCCTCCAGTAGAAGTTGTGTGTTTTTTTGGATATTTCATGTTCAAAAAAATTTTTTTTCACCTGCATCAATTTTCAAATCTTGGATTTTTCCCGGGGGAAAGGCGCCATTCGCAAGACCCCACTGCGCAGGCCCAGTACCCATTTTCTTCTACTGCGCATCGCCAGTCGGCTTCCCTCCGACGCCATATTGAATGCTTTGTTAGAACCACAACTTGACGAGTGCCGCCTCGTAGGAGACACTCCAGGGGGCCGATCACCTCCCGACGGACGGTATTACCCGCAGATGGTGCCCCAGCAGGTGCCGAAGTGTTTATTCTGTTAATGCGCGGGATTACAATCGAGTTGTAAACAATTTTAACGGGTTTCTTTGTTCGTTGAGGTTGGGAAAAGGGGGGAAAGTCTTTGTTCTTGTGTCAGTGGTCCTCCTGGAGGACAACAGTGCGGGTTTACCCTGGAGCTTCTATCATACCGGTGATCCAACCTCCAGGAAGTGATGTGAACAACTGTGAACTGGGTTTTTTGGGAAATCGTGGTGTGCTGGGGCGGATTGTTCGAATGGATCGAATGGTGAGTTTTAATTCAATTAATGCAGAGGGGAGGTTGGGGTAAAACGGACACTTTTGAGTTTTTTTAAATTTTAATGAGGCGTTGAAATGTTGACAAAATTGAATTACTTTTTTTTCAATACAAAGAACAATTCTTTCCCTTTGTGACAAGCCTAACTTGAGTTCAATTAATCAATTTGTTTCTGAGTTGGGAATAATTTTAAAAAAGTCTAAAGTGTCCATTTTACCCCACCCTCGCCTCCTCCAGTAGAAGTTGTGTGTTTTTTTGGATATTTCATGTTCAAAAAAATTTTTTTTCACCTGCATCAATTTTCAAATCTTGGATTTTTCCCGGGGGAAAGGCGCCATTCGCAAGACCCCACTGCGCAGGCCCAGTACCCATTTTCTTCTACTGCGCATCGCCAGTCGGCTTCCCTCCGACGCCATATTGAATGCTTTGTTAGAACCACAACTTGACGAGTGCCGCCTCGTAGGAGACACTCCAGGGGGCCGATCACCTCCCGACGGACGGTATTACCCGCAGATGGTGCCCCAGCAGGTGCCGAAGTGTTTATTCTGTTAATGCGCGGGATTACAATCGAGTTGTAAACAATTTTAACGGGTTTCTTTGTTCGTTGAGGTTGGGAAAAGGGGGGAAAGTCTTTGTTCTTGTGTCAGTGGTCCTCCTGGAGGACAACAGTGCGGGTTTACCCTGGAGCTTCTATCATACCGGTGATCCAACCTCCAGGAAGTGATGTGAACAACTGTGAACTGGGTTTTTTGGGAAATCGTGGTGTGCTGGGGCGGATTGTTCGAATGGATCGAATGGTGAGTTTTAATTCAATTAATGCAGAGGGGAGGTTGGGGTAAAACGGACACTTTTGAGTTTTTTTAAATTTTAATGAGGCGTTGAAATGTTGACAAAATTGAATTACTTTTTTTTCAATACAAAGAACAATTCTTTCCCTTTGTGACAAGCCTAACTTGAGTTCAATTAATCAATTTGTTTCTGAGTTGGGAATAATTTTAAAAAAGTCTAAAGTGTCCATTTTACCCCACCCTCGCCTCCTCCAGTAGAAGTTGTGTGTTTTTTTGGATATTTCATGTTCAAAAAAATTTTTTTTCACCTGCATCAATTTTCAAATCTTGGATTTTTCCCGGGGGAAAGGCGCCATTTGCAAGACCCCACTGCGCAGGCCCAGTACCCATTTTCTTCTACTGCGCATCGCCAGTCGGCTTCCCTCCGACGCCATATTGAATGCTTTGTTAGAACCACAACTTGACGAGTGCCGCCTCGTAGGAGACACTCCAGGGGGCCGATCACCTCCCGACGGACGGTATTACCCGCAGATGGTGCCCCAGCAGGTGCCGAAGTGTTTATTCTGTTAATGCGCGGGATTACAATCGAGTTGTAAACAATTTTAACGGGTTTCTTTGTTCGTTGAGGTTGGGAAAAGGGGGGAAAGTCTTTGTTCTTGTGTCAGTGGTCCTCCTGGAGGACAACAGTGCGGGTTTACCCTGGAGCTTCTATCATACCGGTGATCCAACCTCCAGGAAGTGATGTGAACAACTGTGAACTGGGTTTTTTGGGAAATCGTGGTGTGCTGGGGCGGATTGTTCGAATGGATCGAGTGGTGAGTTTTAATTTATTAATTAATGCAGAGGGGAGAGTGGGTTCAAATGGACACTAGACTTTTTTTAATTAGTCCCAACTCAGAAAGAAAATTTATCAGTTGAGCTCAGTTTAGGCTCATCACAAAGGGAAAGAATTCAGAAGTGAAGTGCGTAGAGTCTGTTGAGTTTTTGAGGAATATATCCGAATCTAAGGGAGATAGCGAAATTTTCGTAATGACATTTGTTGTAGCCCTCAATTGGCTCTACAAAAAAGGTTATAACAAAGATTTTGCTATCTTCCTTAGAGTCCGAGATATTGAGTGAAAACTGGTCAATAGTCGAAATTGAATTATCTCCTTTTACTACTTCGACTTCACTTTCATCGAACAAATGGATGGTACATCCTTCCATATTTGAAATTTCATAAATTATTAAACTAAATTAAATATATAGCACAATTGATGGAAGAAAAAATTTCATTGATTTTAATAAAATATGAAATGATGAATTGAATACTATAGAGGCAAACGATTCCTAATTTACTAGCAAAAAAACTCTTCACTTCTTCATCTACTAAATATTTTCAATGCAATATTGAAAAAACAAATCATCCAAGAATTTTTTAAAATTAACTGTCCTTCAAAGACAGTCCTAACTCTCATGATTAAATTCACGCCAGGAGGAAAATGAATAAAACAAAA